CGCGAAATACACAGATCCACAGGACTTTTTCCCAGTATTCAATTCTGTGAACCCTGCAGACAAGGACGACATACCCTATCTAGGATAAATCTGTGAATCAAGTACCTGTGAGCTGCAGACAGAGCCACACACAAGCACAGAGCGCGGACAGAATGGTGGAACCACAAGGAGTCTGAAAGCTCCTGTGGCTCCATTTGCCTCTTCCCACTGCTGAGCCTGACTCTGTGACTCCCCTTACCCAAACCCCTAAGAGAATTAAATCAGTTCCCAGTAGTTACAAAACAGTCAGAGCCTGTCTTTCCCTGCATACTCCTCCTTCTTACTGCAACTTCAGAATAACACTTTGTCTAAATTCCCCCAAACCCATGAAAGATTTATTCTAGTCAGATACTAAATCATTCTCAGCACACAACAGGGCTATTCTTCCATGTCAGCCCAAACATACCTTGTTAGGACATGATTCACACCCTAGAGAGAAAGAAGAAAACACACTCAATAACATGTTCTGCATGTTCTTGCAAATCCTGGTCTCACTCTCACTGGGTGCAGAGACAAAGTCAAAGAGAATCAAATCTGTCACCAAAAGTTCTCCAAGACATGAAATAAATTCGATGCTAGGCTCATTAATTGTTTTATATGTATACTAGTACAATATTTTCTGTCTCATACTATAAGAATTTGGAGACCAAAGAAGAATAAATGAAGGTTTGAAAACTTACATAGGTTTTGCTGTGCATACAACTAAACATATAGACACATGTGTCTTTTCCAAGTTCCATGTCAGCTACCTATCACCATCCTTGCTACTAACATATCTTAGAAGCTTATTTCCATATGATTTCAGTCATTTATACACAATTCAATATGTTAACCATGAAGAAGCCACAAGGGCCAGAAGCTTAGATTGTTTGATAGTTAAGTCCAGCTAACCATATCTCTCTTTCTCTGGTTTTCCTGGCAAGAAAAGAAGTGAATCTAAAGAGACATGTGTGCCCCTCAATTTGACAAACCACTAAATCAATGACTCCCCCTAAAAGTGGAATTTCTCCAGGAATCTCACACTGGGAGAAGGAAAGCACCGCTACCAGATGGAGAAATGACCTCCTAAAAGATTTCACGCTATTTTTGTTACTTGCCAGACCACGTAAGGCCTGAGTCTGTACCAGATAATGATGGGAGAATGATGGACAGGGCCACACCTTGACAAGGACTACTCATGTGTGCATATATTTGGGTCTCTGTTTAAACTTTGATCTCACTTAGAGAAAATGAAGATGGATTGTGGGCTTTTTAAAAATATTTTTGTCCTTCTTCCAAATGTGGCTACATTAATAAATATCCCTTTTCTGCCTTCCAATATTAACTTGGCTCTTTTATATTGGACAGATATTGATGCCTGACCCACCAGGTCCACTTTGCTATGTTTAGTAGGCAGCTCTGTGAGTCCTTCGTCCCCAGATTGAGACCTAACACTATGCAAGTGTTCTCACATGTGCGGATTCTACCGGATATTGGTAGATTTAACTAAAGTTAAATTCTTCGAGAAATGTGATCTTTCTCCTTACAGATAACTATTACTAGGAGCTCCTTGGGTATGGTTAAACTTCCTATGGAAGTCCACTTTCCGTAGTGGAATTTGGTGTGGTTTAGGCTTGCACAGGTCTTGGGTTTGGTGTCACAGCCAATCCCAGGTCTTATGTGCTGCTGCTAAGCTGTGTCCAGAAGACGCTGTTTCTCTTGTACTCCTCCACCACCTCACGCTCTTGCATGTTTTCTGCCCTCCTTCTGCAATGATCCCTGGGCCTTTAGATTAGAAGTGGACTATGTATTTTCCATTTAAAACTGTAAATCCTGTAGTCTCTTCCTCTATCCACCTTGACCACATTTGTTTTTCACTATGTAATCCTGCTGGCCTGGAACTCACTATGTAGACCGGGCTGGCCTTGAAAAATCTACCTTCATTTGCTTGTGTGTTCTAACTGCTGGGATTAAAGGAGTGAGCCAGGACACCTGGCTGCAGGTTGGGAAGCTTATATCTTATTTCCAAAGTTATAAGTTCTTCTCATGTTTTTGTTTCTGTGTATGAGAAACTCTCAAGTCCTGGGATCACAGGCAGTAGATGCATGTATTTTATATAACATAACCCAATAAATGTGGATCCATAGTAAAAAGAATTCTGAGAGAACTAGAATTCTAGTTATAGGTGAAAACTGATGTTTAAACTTGTTCTCACTGAGACATCTGTATGCTCATGTTCACTGAGTCATTATGATAGCAGATAAAATAGAGTCAACTGGAAAACTACAACCAGAGGAATAAAATAAATATGATATGATAAACATGGAGGTTAAAATATTAGACATTCAAAGCAAGTATTGCCATTTGTGGTAACTTGGCTGCCTGCACAAAAGAAATTCTTACCGAGATTTTCATCACCAGAATATACCTTTGGTTTAAATGATTTAAAAGTGTGATAGAGATAAAATACAATACAAACTTTATACCTGTTAGATAAAGAAGACACCTTTATCTCAGAAACTCAAAGACAGAGAAAATTTCTGAGATCTTGGATGGTAACTCCCCTCCCACTGACCAGAGCACTGAATCAGGGCAGTGGGGTGAAAGGCTTCAAATATCCAAGGGGAGAAACCATTTCCAGTAATTTCAAATTCAGATAAAGTGAGTAATGACTGTTGGATACGCTTCACACATGCTCATATTTCAGCAGGGGAGTAACTACCCATGATGCAACAGATCTTCTCTATGTGGTTCTGCTACTGTACTGTACTTGATAAACTAAAACATACAATTTCCTCTTACCATCCATGCTTGCAGTGATTCCCCAGCCTCTAAAACTGGTTCTGGAAAGAGTCCAGGGAGGGTCCAGAGAGCCCTACTGTCCTCACCAGGGAGATCACAGCAGCACAGAAGGAGGGAAATGACTTCCAAAGTGTCCTGACTCTCAGATGCTGACCTCCTGCAGTCTTACCTGCAGCATCTCCATGGTTGAGCACTGCAACCCATGCTCCAGATCTGAGATGAGGTTTCTCACTGACTCCCTCTGCTTCACCAGCTCATTTTGAGAATCTTCCAGGACGTCTAGAATATCTTCCTTCTCTTTCATCAGCTTCTCAACCTCATTCTTCTCCTTGGAGTCCAGGAATTCCCGCAGTCCTTTCAACTCCATCTCAACGTTTTCTACCTCAATCTGTATTTGCTTCTTCAGGGATTACAAAAAGGGAGATTTATTCAGACTGGGACAGAGAGACAGAAAAAATATTGTTCTGATTGGGAGTTCTCATTGGAAATGAGTTTGGGTTGGGAAGGGAGTCTCAGGGAACGAAGCATGTGTCTCTTTTCAGCATGTGTTCTTGATATTCCAAAACACAGCCTTAGGTCACCTTTACCATGGTCATTTGAGCCAAATTGGGATGCAAGGATGTGGCTCAGATTTCACACAGGTGTCCCAGATCCCTATTCCTTTCTCTATACTCCTCATTCTGCCTCTGAACCCCTAAGAAAAAGTAGCCCCAAGGATAAAACTGTGACTGTTCCCAAGCATCTTCCCAACAATCAGAGTTCCATAAAGCACCACAGGATCAAGTCCCAGGACTCAGTGCCATTCTCACCAGGCCACCAAAACCATGTCAGCTCCTCACACAGCCAGGCTCAGCTGTGATGCACTCTCTGTGCAGCCTCAGATCTAATGGAACACGCAGAGAGGACCAATCAAGGCCTCATGTCCCCATCAGCCTCCAGGGAATGACGAGCCAGGGAGCTTCTTGTCCAGGTCCCTTCTAGGCATCAGGCTAACTCCCTTAGGAGGTAGGGTCCCCACTTGCCTCCCAGGTAGTTCTCTCCTTTTGAATGTTGTCTTCCCACTGGTCACATCTTTTCTCATTAGCCATCTGCATCTCCAGGGCAGCCTGGAGCTTCCCCTGTGGGAGAAGAATTGTAGCAGAGTCAAGCGGTGTGCTTAGTATGACAGCTGCTTCTAGCCAAAGGCCAAGAAATCCTTCTGGAAAGACAGGAGGTCTAAGACTGTTCTCTTTTTAATATCTTGTGCCATGATTTGTGCACATAAATTAGGTAAAGCCTCATCTTCAGCTCAATTAATTTTTGCATTTATAAACACACAATCCCCAGACAGACAAAGACACAGAAATGTGTCCCAGTCAGTCGTCCCATCAAGCACAAACTGGCTACTTTGATTCTGTTATCAATAAACTGGAATAATTTTGTTATGTTTTCTTGTCTTTCCTATAAATCTATACATAGATCATATACCTTATTGTTGACATGTGCACATTCTTTTTCTTTTTTTAAAAAAACAAAACAAAACAAAACTGGATCTTACTATGTAGGCCTGGCTGTTCTGGAATTTCTGTGTAGACCTGTATAACCTCAAACTCATCCCTTGCCAGAGTTCTGGGACTGAGCCAAGTCCCACCATACTGGTCACATGCACTTTCTTTTGTCATTTCCTTTTCTTTTTATGAACTGTAGTTTTTTTTTTGTATTTAATATTTTTTTCTTCACTGAATTTTTTTTTATAAAATATATTTTGTTTAAAGATTGCCTGGCCTATACACCTCACAGTTTCTTTCTACCTGCTCTCCCATTCAGATTCATACCCTGCATGTCTCTTGCTAAAAAAGAAACAGTCATCTAGGAAATAATAAGGGAATAAAAATGAATACAATAATACTTTGGTATTTGACAAAACAAACAAAATAGAAAAAGAGCAAAATGAAAAACATAAGAAATACATATAAATGCAGAGACACACAGGTTTCCAACTCATGGGAATCCTATAAATCCAAGCTTTAACATAAAAACAAAGGAAATGTAGAGTAGGAAAAGCAAAAAACAAAAAAAAAAAAACCCAAATACCAAAAATCCCCCCAAAACAACAACAAAAAAAACCTAAAAAACAATAACAACAATAACCCAAACATAGCAATAAAACGAAACACCCCAGTATTGTTTGACACCCTTCAATCAGAGGTGCCTAAGTAGAAAGAGAAGCTCATGGATATACTAAGTCTTCATTTTCCAAAGAAGGAGAGAGGTGGGTTGAGTTTCTTGGAAAGGACTGACACCCAGGTAGCTCACTCCAGTTATTTTATCTAAACATGTACAAGGTTAATAGGGATGGGAATTAATGAGGTTATCTTGCTCTTGCTATCTTTGGTTTGTAGTAAGGAGGGCCTCCTGTTCATTTCCTGGCTATCCAGTATCTCAGACCCGAAATAATCACACAGAAAATATATTATTTAGATTACTGCTTGACCCATTAGCTCTAGCTTCTTATTGGCTAACTCTTAAACATTAATTAAACCAATCTCCATTAATCTCGATTAATCTGTGCATCACCATGAGGTCGTGGCCTACCATCAAAGTTTCGGCGTGTCTGAAACTCTCAGCATTCGGTTTAGTTTTCTCTTCCCTAGCTAAGTTCTGCACTGCTATAGGTCCAAAGCAGTTTCTTTATTAATTAATGGTTATCACAGCAAACAGAGGGAAATAACACATCAGAAAGGAGATATCCTACACAAATCTCAGCTTTGTTTGACTATGGCTAGCAATAATCAAAAGTAAGACCTCCACGTCTTTGAGAAGTATTTTAGGACCGAGTTTGGTACAGCTGCAAACGCTCATGTAACACCAAGTATAGATTCCCCAGACAACATTCTTCAAGGTTTAAATACTCTCAGAGCACTTTCTCTGCTTCTACTGATTAACACAAACACAGCAAAGGCTTTGATGAAACATTTTACTCAAAGTCAGTCATAAAGGCTTTACTGTACATATGACCACAGTCCAGACTTAACAGTTGAGAGAAAGAACCTCCAAATATGGGTTTCCTTAAAGTGGTTAAGTCATCAGCCTACTGCTGAGAAGGGGAGTTATAAAAATAGTTCATTTCCCCATTGATATTCCATTGGAGAAAAGTAAGTTTTCATTTACAAGTAGCTATCAATTGCAGATTGCTTCTGGGTTAGGGATGTCTCGTGTGCCCACTTCTCCCATCTTGAGGATCCCATCTGATGCAAACGCTTGCAGGCCTGGTACATGTTGCAACAGTCTCTGGTGTGGGCCAAATGCCTATATTCTGGGATTTAACTCCTGCACGAACTGGGTAGGATGGTAACCCTCCAACAAATGGTGCCAACGTGTGGATGCCTGTATCCACATAAAGCTTGACAGAGCTTGGGAAGTAATTCTAGACAGAAAAGAGTAGAGTTAAGCACAGCTTATTGATAGTAGCATTTTCTCAGGTGGGCTCTGCTTGCTAGAGGCAATCATTTAAGAGAGGCTTCCTGACTCAGCTTTAGCTGAAAAACCCTGCAGCTCTTTGAGAGGTCCTGCCACAAAACACTGAAACAGTGTTGATGAAAAGCTGACTGCATACTTTTTGGTTTCCACCCATAGCAGGAAAAAAAGCCATTCCATTTTAAAATTCCATCTTTCTGGGCTGTCCTGCCAGGACAAACTGTGTCTTTCAGGCAGGTGGTCTGACTAGGGAGCATTTGAGTGTGGTCTTTGAGCACAGTGCTGAAGCTTGCTTGCTGGCAGGAAACTTGAAATGCCATTGAGTTGTGGCAATAAACATGGCTACAGCTGGTATCTCCGCCATGAGGTTGGGATCTCACAAAGCTAAGAAATGGACTGGATCCAGCCATCAAAGCCAAGGCTTTAATTATACCCAAATTGCTTAGCAAATTAAAGGCTCATGTGGTCACAAAGAGAGAGATATACAGTAAAGATAGATTAAAAGACAAAAAAAATGGTCTAAATGTTTTACTGTGTTTAAAAATGTATGTAGGCTTGAGAGAAAAAAGAAAAAAGAGAGTAGTTGTGTTGGTGGCACACACCTTCAATCTCAACACTTGGGAGACAGAGGCAGGCAGACCTCTATGAGTTCAAGGTGTTGTGGCACACACCTTTAATACCAAAACTTGGGAGGCAGAGGCAAATGGATCTCTGTGAATTTAAGGTGTGGTGGCACACACTGTTACAAGGAGCAGGGCCCCTTGTTTATCTTTGCTGCCTGGCTAGCTTAGTCCCTGAAATAATCACAAAGAAACTGTATTCAGGAAAACACTGCTTGGCCCATTAGCTCTAGTTTCTTATTGGCTAATACTTACATCTTAATTTAACCCATTTCTATTCATCTGTGTATCACCACATAACTGTTACATATGGGCAAGATTCTAACCAGCATCCGTCTCAGGCAGGAGATCCACAGCATCCCTCACTCTGCCCTTCTTCCTTGCATTCAGTTCTGTCTTCTCTACTTACCTCTAAGTTCTGCCCTAACAGGCACAAAGCAGTTTCTTTATTCATTAACCAGTGAAAGCAAGGTATGAACAGAAGAACCTCCTACACCAACACACCTTTAATCCCAGCTTTTTGGAAGCAGGCAGATCTCTGTGAGTTCAAGGACAGTCTGGTCTACAGAGTAAATTCCAAAACAAAGATACACAAAGAATCTGTCTCAAAAAGCCAAAAATTAAAAAGAAAAGAAATAGAGGTTAAAATATAAACACATAAAGATAAAAATACACATATAGTCTCGATACTGTATGTTATTATGTTCTCTTTGAATTGTTTGAATGCTGAAAAAAGAATAACAGCTGCTAAAAGATATTTATTTATAAATGTTGCTGAATTAATCCTAGATAGATATTTTGAAAATACTTTGAAGTCAAAATTGAAGTCAAAGGTATGTTACATTGGAGAAGGGAATTGTTTATACAAGATATAAGAGGCTATGGATTCATTCTGAGTTAAGAAGGATCAGGTTTGATCAAGGAAGACCACCCGAGAAATCTCTGGTAGGAACAGATGGTCCAGATGTCAGGGTTCTCCATCCAGAACAGATTCAAGATGCTACTCGAGATGATCAAATCTCACAGGATACTCCAGTCAGGACTTGATCATAATTCTAAATTTTCTTTAGGTCCCCATAAGATTATCAGCACCCCCAACCAGCAGGTAGCAGCCTGAAAAACCATACCCACATTCCCAAAAAATGGACGATGGTCAGGAAAAAAGCTAAACAAAGATTATTAAATTCAGAGGTTTTTTATTTTAAAGAAGAGGGGAAATGGTGTGGGACAAATGTCAATTTGTCAGTTATATTCTGTCAATTATATTTTAAATAAATGCTGATTGGCCAGTAGCCAGACAGAAAATATAGGTAGGACAACCACATAGGAAGTAGAGGCGGGTCAATGAGAACAGGAGAATTTTGGGAGGAAGGAAGTCCATTCCTGGGAGTCCTGACCACCCACAGAAGCAAGATGTGAGTGCCTTAATGAAAAAGGTCCTGAGCCATGTGGCTAACATAGACAAGAATAACGGGCTAATATAAGTCATGAGAGTTAATACAAAGCCTGACTAATTGGCCAATCAGTTTACAACTAATGTAGACCCCTGTGTGATTTCTTTGGGACTTAATGACTGCAGGAACCGGGCAAGACAGAAAACTCATTCAGCAAGTCTCCATCAGTTACATGTGGACTCACAATAAGCAAAGAAACAAACAAATAAAAAAAAACAAAAACAACAACAAAAAAACCCCACAAAACATAGATCCAACACAGAACTTGCCTCTGTTCATCTCCTTATGAAATTCTTTACCCTTTTCCCAGATGTTTCAACTGCAACACACACATTCTTTCACTGCTGTATGTCAATCATTTACTAGTTACATGGTTGGAAGTCACTGGACTGGATGTGAGGTAGTATGAATGAATCTGACATAAACAATGAAGGACTACAAATATGGAATACATTACCTGTTATACAATTGGATTTTCTTGATCATTGACTCAATTTCATAGGGACAATTACAAAAGAGTTTTTGCATCTTAATATTTGTACTCCAGGTTGCTTCTTATACAATTAAGTGGAATAAACCATCATGTCCTTTTAGGACTCTAAATAGAATGATGTAACAACCCCAGAGCCTATGATGTCCAGGTAATTGACCTGTCACACCAAGTGGAGACTTCCCATCTGTTACTGTGTCCCACACCCTCCCCCTTCCTACCTTGTACTTATTGGCCACCTCTTCAATGAGAGCTGTTTGGTGTCCACGGTGATCCTGAGATCTCTCACAAAGCCAGCAGATGGCCACCATGTCCTTCTCACAGAAGAGCTGGAGTTTCTCTCCATGTTGTACACAGACATTCACCTTCTGCTCCTCCTCTGGGCTGGACTTGAACTCCTTGAGCCTCTCCACTATGTTGGCCACATGCCAATTAGGCCTCAGATTCTCAAACAGGTAACATTCTCGGCACACAGGGCAGACGCCTTCATCTTCTTTGCCTTTGCTGGACTCATAGTTCAGAGTGATGCAGGCTCTGCAGAAGATGTGGTTACAATTGGCACTCACAGGGTCTTTCAGAAGCTCCAGGCAGACAGGACAGGTCACCTCCTCCTTGATCATCCCCAGGACTGATGAGGCCATTGTTGCTGTGGTGCTGAGTCTGTCTGTCTGTATTCCTGACACTTCTGCTCAGGTACCTGAGTGACTGGGATGATGAGAAGGGGGACAAGTGAGAAAGAGAAACTCAGCATTGAACCGTGAAGAGATCAATGAATGCCCTCAATGATAAGGGAAAAGAAGAAAGGAGAGAGATTCGGAAAGAAGTTCAGAGACATGGCAAAGAAGAATGCTGTCATCCTTTCAAGTCCTCTGCTATGTTTCATCCAAAATGACTAATTTCAGGTGCAGGATTGTTATTTCCTTCCACTGAAGACCAGGAAGATCATGTTTCCTTCCATCAGTCTCGTGTAATCGACCTTCTCTCCTTCCCTTTCTTTCCCAGAATGAAATCATATCTTCAGTGTTATAAGCATCAAACTACTCACTTATCCCCCACTCTACTTTCTCCTTCATCACCACCAGTCAGTGCTCTGACCCTCTGCTTACCAGTCTCAAATAGCCTTGTGCTGACCTGGAGTGTACACAGTCCATCTCCTGATTCACATAGGCAATGATTTTTCTTATTGTTCAAGAGAGTCTATTACTTTGTAGACGATTCTAGTAGACTTCTAGCAAGTACGTGAAGCAGGTCACAGCTACTTGTAACTCCAGCTTCAAGGAATCCACCAGCTGTAACCACCCCAACCATCCCCTTTCAAATGTGCATACACATAGGCAGGCCCACAAATATACAACTCAAAACAAAATGAAACTTAGTTTACTTGTTTTGTTTTTACTTTTTCTTTTTAGACCAAAGTGTTTGGTTTTGAACCAAAGGCTACTCCACTATTTGTCTTCTGTCAGGTTCAGTGTATCTGCTTTTATTTTGAGGTCTTTGATCCACTTGGAGTTTTACTGATATGCACAGTAAGCAAGAGGCTAGCCTTGGAATGTTACTGATGTGCCCAGTGAGCACTGAAGAAAACTTATTTTCAAAATTTAAGGGAGGGGGCATGAAGTTGGATGGAAGGAAAGGAGGGCACAATCTGAAAGAAACTGGGGAAGGGGAAAGAATATGATCACCTTTTTAAAAATATTTTTTAGGATAAAAAGATAAATAAATATACCAATCTCAAAGTATCATGTAAAAGACAGAGGTCAAGGAGAGAACAAAGGGGCACTGTTCATTGTTCTAAGTGCTCCATAAGGAAATGAAACAGAGAGAAGGCAGACAGGAACTCAGCAAGAAATTGCACTAACCCTGCCATACACAGCACTATCCCCCCACTGACAGCCACACACACACACACACACACACACACACACACACGTGTGAACACTGATCTAGAAGGAACCTCTGGGCTACAAGACTGGGTCTCAAGATGTAAGAAGAACGAAATGAAATATCTTCTTTAACCTCAGTGGTATAAAACTAGAAATCACTACAAGAGGGATTTGGGAAAAACTCACAGACACATGGAAATTATACAACATTCTCTAAACTAATGAGCAAAGAAAAAATCAAAAGAGGTTTAGAAGCATTCATCACAAGGAATTCCATTGGGTACTGTAGACAGTCTAAAAGGGAAGACCACTGGGACAAAATTATATTAAATAAATAAAAAACAAATGAAGTCTCAAGTAAATAACTTAATTCTTGACCTCAGGGAAGTAGAAAAAAAAAAAAAAGAAGAAGAAACTAAGCCAAAACTTATACGATGGGAAGAGAACGCAGAAAACAGAAATACAACAAAAAGAACAGAAAGACTCTAGGAAAATGTAAGGAATCATCATCTGAGTTGTTTTCTCTCTCTCTGTCTCTCTCTCCAATTCATTTGAGGACAGGATTTTCACTATGCAGTCCTGGCTGCCCTGGAACATCTATGTACATCAGGCTGGACTAAAACTCAGAAAGATCTTCTTGCCTCTGCCTTCCTAGTATTAGGATTAATGGCATGTGCCATCTGCCCAGCCGGCACAATATGCAATGAAATAAACAAAACCAAAAGGATCATAAGGTTCGTCGAGTCTCCTGGGTGCCCAGATTAGCTTGGGTAAAACCATGAAATCCCTGATCAAACTGGTTACTCTCGTGGTTCTCATGATCTTTTATAATCAGACTTTTTCCAAATCAATCAAGACTCTAATTTCCATTATTTAGAGGTAGAAAAGGGGGTGGCAGTAGTGATGTGCACCTGCCTCTCTAGTGACGGGGAGGTGGGGATGGGACCGACTGAGGGGTTGAAGACCAGCCGGGGAAACAAAAATGTATCATCTCTCTAAGAGACAACAGGAAAGCGGTCACTTCTGGGAGAATCTTCAGATATACTACTCTAGTGAGCCTCCTCGTCCTTCGTCTGCCCATCTTCGAAGACTCCCTTCCCTTGGAACTGGACCCAAGGCTTGAAAAGAGCCTACCCACCCCTGAGCTAAGTCACAAAACATTTTAAAAAATATTTTATAAATGAGGCTCATTGAGTTGCCCATAAAGGCCTTCAATTTCTGATCCTCTGGCCTTTTGTGTAGATGTAATCTCAACATGGACTAAGCACTGCTTCAATTTTCAGGAAATGGCTTAAGGAGAAGAAAACAACAGCGGTCAAGTCCTGGCTTGGTTCTATCACAGGGAGTCAGTGACTGGCTAACAAGCTCACAGCCTCTAGCTCTAAACCCAGAGAGGAGCCCTAAGAGTTCCTAGGGCAAAGATTCTCAACCTTCCTAATGCGGTGACCCTTTAATAAAATTCCTCATGTTGGAGTGACCCCAACCATAGAATTACATTTGTGAAGGGCTCAAGCAACCCCAAAGGGGTCGCGACCCACAGGTTGAGAACCACTGTCCCAGCGACTGCGGAAACACCACATTATAATAAAAAACAAATTCAATAAAAGAGGCTCTGACTTACCTTAGCTGTAGAGAAAGGAACTTTGTTCGTCAAGGTACAATTCAAAATTATAGATTATGAAATGCCAGGAGGCGACTGGACCTGGC